ATAGAAAAATGTCAGTATAGTGTGGAAATTGTCAGTTCATCTGAGGCTTTTCTAAGCAGTTATTCTCACAGATGAAGAGCGTTTAAGAAAAAAAAAACAGTATATGGCGCATCTTAGAGTTACAGATAAAGGAATGAAAAATATCTTCCCCAGTGTTTATAAAAACCTATACCCTAGATTTTATTTTTTATTTTGTTGAAACTGTACACAATGACCTACATCTCGGTGGAGGAAGCATAAGTCCAGGGTTTAAGAAGATAAAGGATTGACTGACCTTTGTGCTTGGTGCAAATGTCAGTGGAGATTTAACTGTTGGTATTTTTGTTATGATTGTTACTTTTTTTTTTTTAAGTGCTCTGGTTCTTAGGTTTTAAAATTTTTGTCCTGTTTTTCCGTAGACACTATTATTTTCAAGTGTGTAATTTTGCAGAATGTGTTTTCCGCAATGTGGTAGATGTTAATTAACTTAAAAACACCAGACCATAACAAGTAAGTGTAAGCAGATATCGGCTGCAACCATGTGAGCGCAGTAGTTCGTAACCCAGGGCAGTTTTGTCTTCCATGGGACATTAGACAATGTCTGTAGACATTTTTGGTTGCCACACCTGGGGGGAGGGGGAGATGCTACTGGCTTCTAGTGGGTGGAGATCAGGACTGCTGCTGAGCATAGTACAATGCACAGGACAGCCCCCATGACAAGGAGTTGTTGGCCCAAAGTGTCAACAGTGCACACTGTGTACAGAGGAACCCTACTGTAAAGGGTTTTGGGGACATAGTAAGCACTGAATAAATGTTAGTTAATATTTACATAGTTATAGTAATATTTAAATTTTCAAATATGAATTATATTACCTGGTCTATTTCTGTGGTTTTGATTCTGTTTATTTTTGTGCCAGTACCACATTGTTTGACTACTGTTGCTATATATTATAATCCCACCCAGTTTGGAGGATCCTCTTATATTACTCTTTTAATAATGGTAATATTCTTTGATTTGTAGAGATTAATATTTGAGTTATTTTGTGGGCTTTCAGAACTAAATTTTGTTAAATTTAACTTCAAGTACTTGTACAAAAATGACAGCCTTAAGATTTTAAAATCTTCTTTATTTAAGTCATGTTATGTTCTCTGAAAGTTTTGTAATTTCTTTATATAAACATACTTCCAATTTTGTTTCTTAGTATTTTATATTTTTGTTGCCATAATATATGTGATTTTTTTTTTTACATTTTTGTTTTCATTCTCTTTGGAATGCCATTGGGTTTTATATATTCATTTTTTATTGTGCCTTTCTTGTAATTTATTTTTAAAATCTATTTTTATTGAGATATAATTGCCATATAACACTGTGTATGTTTAATTTGTTGATTTGATTACATTTAGGTATTGCAGGTTGGTTACCACCATAGCATTAGCTATCTATCGTGTCATAATTATCACTTCTTTATTGTGGTGGGAACAAAGATCTGGTCTCTTATCAACTTTGAAGTTTATAATAACAGTATTGTCTGTAATCACTGTGCTGTGCATTAGATCTCCAGAACTTACTTACCTAGCGGTTGGAACAACCCTTAAACAACCTCTCCCCATCCCCCTCCACCCTACCCCCTTTCCAGCCCCTGGTAACCACCATTCTGCTCTGTTTTAATGAGTTTGGCTTTTTAAGATTCCACATAAAGTGATATCATACAGTATTTGTTTCTAGTAACCTATTATCCTTTGATGCATCACTTAAAACATTGCCCAGAACTTTCAGAACATTAATAAAAATGGTGATAAATGGCAGCCTTCTGTGTTTCTGAATTAAATATAATATACTCTGATGGTTGTTACAGAGAAAATGAATTATATTTAGAACAAAGAATATTTCTAGTTGTCCAGCAAAGGGTCTATAGGATGACAGATCCATCCAGCCCTAGTTCTTCAGTCTTTGAACAATGGTCTGTGCTCTTTGAGGGTATACAGAAGAAGTACTTTGCCATTATTTTCTAGAAATCTTAAAATATAGCTGAAGGATTAGGGCTAACACATGTAAAATCATTGTTGAATCTACATTTCTTCAAAATTATGAAGAGGAACGTATGAAGCAAAAAATTGGATGCTATATATAATCGTGTAAGTAGTTGGTAAATACATTTGGTAGGAATTCACAGAGAGAGCAAGCTTCATGGGCTGGTGTGGGACTAGAGCAGATTGTAATTGCCTAGATTATCATAAATGGAGGAGGAAAGTGAGATTATTGCAGTGACTGGAATGAACATGACCAGAGCCTAGAATTCTTCTTGGTTCAGTCTCTGGCTCATACATTTCCCAAGACCATTCTACAGAGTGCTGACAGCTTAGTTGAGGCTTTCATTATACAGATTCCAAAGCTTCTTAAAAGTTTTTCCCTTGTGAAAAAGTGATTAAATTGATATAAATGTAATTATATGATATGATGAATCCAAAATGGGGAATTCCCTAGAGTGACTGCTTGAATAGAACATTCTATATTCTTTTTATGTTCTTGTTATTTTTGTTCTCATCCCATGGTATTGTATGTTTTAGTTGTTAGTAGAAATGCATTCAGGAGTGTTTTATTATTGTTTATAGCAAATTTATTTAGCATTCTTACACTGAATTATCTTTCCTCTGTATGCTGCAGAATGTATGGATAGGATTGAAGTTTATCAATTTAACTGACTTAAATTTGAAAAGTAAATATCCGTTTTACCCTTACATTCTAGAATATATAATAGAAGGGGCTTAATACTGAATAGCATCATCATTTCATCTTGTATTATTTAAAAATGCAGATAATTATTATTATATTTCTTTTCTATTTTACTATTTATCCTACTTAACATGTATTTCTTGGAGATACTGGGGAGTATAATTGTGTCATTTTCCTTTCAAAAGTTTCATGCAGTTTACAAACGTTTGGGTTTGTAAATGGTTTTTAAAAATGAACCAAATGAATCTTTTTTTTTTAACATCTTTATTGGAATATAATTGCTTTACAATAGTGTGTTAGTTTCTGCTGTATAACAAAGTGAATCAGCTATACATATACATATATCCCCATATCTCCTCCCTCTTGCGTCTCCCTCCCACCCTCCCTATCCCACCCCTCTAGGTGGTCACATGCATTGTAAGCAAAAGCAATGAAAAACGAAATCCTTTTAAACACTTGATATGTCTTTGGACTAGCACTCACTCTGGTCTGCTTGTGCTTCTTTATGTTGGGGATGGCAATTGACTTTTTCGTTACCTACCTGTCTTTGAACAAGGAGCAGGATGGGCAGGCCCCCTACCTGACAGCAGTGGCTGACTTAGGAGACTGCAGTTGGGCTGGCTGATTCTGCCCTCCTGCTTTCTCCTTTTGAGCCTCAATACCTGCTTGCTCCCATTCTAGGAGGGAACACATTAATAAGCTTATAGCCTGGATTCATCAGTCACCAAGGGATGTTCAGCCTCCTAGTATGTCAATCAGTGCAAGACTCTCTGCCTGATATTATAGATGCAGTGATCAAAACCAAAACATAGCCCAAACCAATTCCTAGCCTGATAGGAAATTCATAGCTGTAGATTGGAATCCAATCAACTCCCAAGTCTGTTTTCCATTACCATCTTTTATCCTAACATTGAGTCTTGCCTGATGGTTATATCTCCTCTTGAGACGTTCCTAAAACAAAACATCCTGTATTATCCTCAGTCTTTTCCTCAACCTCTTGATTGTTTCCTTCTTTCTGTTAATGCCAACACTATCTATGTAGTTCTCAAGACTGGAAACCTACCCATTATACCAGTCTGTCACTGTCATTTCTAAATATTCTCTCTTAGCTCTTTATTGTCACTGTCAATACCATATCTCCCTGTCTATATCACGTATCTCTGTAGAGAAAATTATTCCATTGCTAAGTGTTGGATGTGAAATTTGTTTCTGGTTTTGTCACTCTACTACTAAAAAGGCAAGGGCTTATTACCTCCAAATAAAAATCTATTCAGAAAATCTGTGCAGAATCTTCAGTAATATTTTCATAACCCACTTCTTTTAGCTATCTATTCTCATTCCCCTTGATGTACTCCTGACAAAATTAGCTACTTTTCTACCACATCTTAAAGCCCCATGACTTTGTTCACATTCTCATTTCTTTTTTTTAAAATTTTAATCAATTCTTTTATTATTTACAACAGTCTTTTGATAATTTCTGCCAAATTTGTTCTGATATATTCTTTTTTTTAACATCTTTATTGGAGTATAATTGCTTTACAATGGTGTGTTAGTTTCTGCTTTATAACAAAGTGAATCAGTTATACATATAAATATGTCCCCATATATCTTCCCTCTTGCGTCTCCCTCCCTCCCACCCTCCTTATCCCACCCCTCTAGGTGGTCACAAAAAAATATGGAACGCTTCACGAGTTTGCGTGTTGTCATCCTTGCGCAGGGGCCATGCTAATCCTCTCTGTATCATTCCAATTTTAGTATATGTGCTGCCAAAGCGAGCACCATTCTCATTTCTTTAAGCTCTCTCCCCCTGCCAGTGCATTCATACCCTTCAGTTCTTAGCAGGAGTGCATGACATCCTTCCCTAACTAGCCTGAAATGATTTCTCTAATCTTCAGGATCTTATGGTCATATCTATACGTCTCTGTGACATCTGTTTCTTTTCATGTGTATCATAGTTATTTATGAGTAAGTTTTATCATAACTTGAGCATCTTTCTTTTCTGTCTCTATATCCCTTAGTGAGGCTTGGGGCCTCACGCATACAAATACCCAGGAAAGACATGTTAATGACTAAGTGAAGACATCATATGGTCGGTTTGGCTGTGTTATCATCAGCGTTCACTTTACAGAGTGTTCTACATCTGCTGTCTGCTGTCTGATAGAATGTATGCAAACCATGTACATTTACCTTATACTTTTAATGCTTTGGTGACCTCAGTCATCAATCATATGTGACAATGTATGTGCCTTGTGAGTAACTGGACTCCATTTTCTTTGTTCTTGGACAGGAGAATCAGATGAGAGGGAACAGTCAAAATTGGAAGTGAAAGTTTGGGACCCAAATAGCCCACTTACAGATCGACAGATTGACCAATTTTTAGTTGTAGCACGGTGAGTATGGCACTGTGGAGTCAAGAGATGTCTTTTCTTTTTATAAAAGAATTTATAGAAATTTTATGAATTTTCCTTTTTTTGTGTTCTATTTTTCATTGGTTGTATTTTTCTTTTTCTAACTGTGTAAGAAAGTCGAATATATATCACACCTCTTCCTAAATAATATGGTTTATTATCATTAGTTTCTGTTTTAAAAATGAAAATAGATTTATTTTTACTGATTAAGAAAATAAATGCTCCTTGTAAAAATGTAAGCACTACAGAAAAGTATAAAGTAGAAACTCAACACCTGAAATCCCATATCTTTAATTAAAGCAGTGATCTCCTTTAAGCTAGTCAGGGATTATTCAGGTGTCAGTAATAATGTGCTCCTCTAATTGCACCCACGTGTGAGTAATGTCTGTTGGCTAGGTGTAAGTCTGTCCTTTGAGAGTTCTAAGCCTGGCTCCCTAGCTGCCTTGCCCACCCCCTCACCCCCCCCAACCCCTTTTCTTGAGAAAATGAGTGGACAGAAGTTTATTTTTATTTTTTGAATTCTAAAAGTAAATGATGTTCATGGGGGAATTGCTGCAAAGCAGAAAGCAAGTGAGATTATCATAGCATTGTAATAGCAGAAAAATTGGAAAAAACCTAAAAGTACATCAGCAAGCAGTTGATGAATGAATTGAGGTATATTTAGTAATGGAGTATTACTTTACAATGAAAATGAATGAATTAGGGCTATATGTAGCAAAGAGATAAACCTCAAAAACAGTGTTGAGTAAGAATACATACAGTATGGTCACTGATAAAAAAATTTTACAATGTGCAAACAATTGTCTTATTTCATTAATGGGCATATGTATGCATATGCATATTATACATATATGTATGAGTTCTGGGAATGTGTATTGATAAAATTTATTTCCTTAAAAAAATGAACCAAGAGACTTCCTGGGTCCAGTGGTAAAGAATGCGCCTTCCCATGCAAGGGACGTGGGTTTGATCCTGCTCGGGGAACTGAGATCCCACATGCCACGGGGCAGCTAAGCCCGAACGCCCCACAACTAATGAGCCCACGCGCCTCAACTAGAGAGCCTGCGTGCCGCAAACTACAGAGCCTGTGTGCCCTGGAGCCATGTGCCACAGCTAGAGAGAAGTCCGTGCACCGCAACAAATAGCCTGTGAGCCGCAACAAAACATCCCTTGTGCCGCAACTAAGATCTGATGCAGCCAAAAAAAAAAAGAAAAAAACAAATGTGGCAAAATGTGATTCAATATTTTTATAGATTATACTCCATTTAAAGTTATTACAAAATAATGGCTATATTGCCCTGTGCTGTACAATATATACTTGTTGCTTCAAACATGGCAAAATATTAGAATGAGGTAGATTTGGACATGATTACAAGCATCTTCATTATATTCTCTAATTTTTTGTCGAATGTTTTTTATAATACAAAGGACAAAAGGGTCTTGGCCCATCCTTAGCACTGTTCATAGTGCCAGTCACCATGGAAGTCATACATCGTATCGGTGGGTAGGCATTTAGACTACAGAGCCCACACGCCTAGCCACTAACTGATTAGATGAAGAGACTTGATATATATACATTGTTGGGGAGGAGCCAGTCAGTGGAATAGAGGAGACTGAAGATTTGGGAGTGGAAATGAATCATTGGTGGAACTGCTGCCCTAGAGACTCCAGACAGGTTATCTGGATTTTGTATTATTTAGTAGATTTTGCAGTTTCAGATTTGATTTTCATTGTTTTTTTTCCTTTTCCTGATTACGATGGGCCATGTTTTCTTTTTTCTTGAAGCCAGCATGAGAGGCACCAAGGAGAAGCACCTAGTATCTTTTTCAATTTTTGTTTTTTTAAAAAAAATCTAAATACAAATTAAACCCAGTTAAGCACCACTGCACATCCCACCAGAATGGTTAAAATTTAAAAGACTGGGCTTCCCTGGTGGCACAGTGGTTACGAATCCGCCTGCCAGTGCAGGGGACACAGGTTCGAGCCCTGGTCCGGGAAGATCCCACATGCCTCTGAGCAACTAAGCCCCATGTGCCACAGCTGCTGAGCCTGTGCTCTAGAGCCTGTGAGCCACAGCTACTGAGCCCGCATGCCACAACTACTGAAGCCCACGCGCCTAGATCCCATGCTCTGCAACAAGAGAAGCGACCGCGGTGAGAAGCCCACGTGCAGCCACGAAGACCCAACGCAGCCAAAAATAAAATAAATAATAAAAATAAATACATTAAAAAAAAATTTTAAAGGCTGACAGTGCCAAGCACTGGTGAAGATGTGGGACAACCAGCACTCTCATATTCTGCTGGTTGTAGTGCAAGTTGGTACAGCTGCTTTAGAAAACTGTTTGCTGTCATCTAACACACATATCCCTTAAGTTTCACTCCTAAATATATACGCAGCAGAAATGCATACACCTGTGTGCCAAGAAGATACATATACAGATGGCAGTAATGGCACTATCCATAGTTGCCCCAGCTCGGAAACACATGTCCATCAACAATAGGGTGGGGGTGGGGCATCGTGCAAAGTAATGCTCACAGCAAGGAGATGAACGAACTCAGCTTATTCACAGCAGGCAGCACGGGTGAATCCACAGACATAGTTTTGAATAAAAGAAACTGGATATGAAAAGTGTGCATAGCATGCGATTCTGTTTTAAGTTTTCAATTGAGCAAAACTAATCTTTGATGTTAGAATCTGGGATGCTGGTTCCTTTCCACTAGGAAGTAGTGATTGGGAAGGAACCCGAGGAGTCTTCTGGGTGCTGTCATGATCTGTGTCTTGACCTGGATGCTGGTGGCATGGATGCATTGACTTTGTGGTAACTGAATAGCTGTACAATGTGTGCTTTTTGCATGTGTTTTTATATTTTAATTAAAACCTTAAAAAAAAATCTCTTCCTCAGCTAACATGTTTAAAACCCAGACAACAAGCGGGAAGCCTTACCTTCATTTCACGCTTTATTTCTTTTTTTTTTAATTAATTAATTAATTTTATTTTATTTTTGGCTGCGTTGGGTCTTCGTTGCTGCACACGGACTTGCTCTAGTTGCGGCGAGTGGGGGCTACTGTTCGTTGCGGTGCGCGGGCTTCTCATCACGATGGCTCCTCTTGTTGCGGAGCACAGGCTCTAGGCACGCGGGCTTCAGTAGTTGTGGCACGTGGGCTCAGTAGCTGTGGCTCACGGGCTCTAGAGTGCAGGCTTGGTAGTTGTGGCTCATGGACTTAGTTGCTCCACGGCATGTGGGATCTTCCCAGACCAGGGCTCGAACCCGTGTCCCCTGCATCGGCAGGTGGATTCTTAACCACTGCGCCACCAGCGGAGGCCACACTTTATTTCTTGAAGTTAGGGTTCTCTGTGTATGGAAAGGCCTTCTAAATCATTAAATGAAAATCAGTGTTGTGGTAATTGTTTTTTGGGTTTTTTTTTTTTGGAAATCTGTTATATATTGAGTCCTTGAAAGAAGAGGTTGCTGCAGTTGATGATATCTCATTTCAAGGAAAAAATGTTACTGGGATTTCACCGTTTGGGCTAAAAAAGTGGTCAGAACTTGCTTTGCAATAATAGTGAAATTCTGCATCAAATTTATTTCTCATTTTTTAAGCACATTTGGAAACCAACTTCTTTATTCCATGGCATTTCGTTATAGATCTTTCCCTTCTTTATGCCACACAAGCCTCTTTTTCTTAACTGTTTTTAAAAATATATTTTGGCTGCAGTGGTGTTAGTTGTGGCATGTGGACTTCTTAGTTGCGGCATGTGAACTCTTAGTTGCGGCATGTATGCAGGATCTAGTTCCCCGACCAGGGATCGAACCCAGGCCCCCTGCATTGGGAGCATGGAGTCTTACCCACTGGACTGCCAGGGAAGTCCCTCTTTTTCTTAATTTAACTGTAATGACACATATGTGTAGTGAATTGGCTTGTCAATTCTTAAATCGTAAAGAAAGTACTTTTTGTCTGATATTTGATTCTTAAACATCAAAGAACTTGCTTGACTTTTACAACTGTTCATTTGCTACCCAAATGTGTTTTTTGTAAAGATAAAAAAACAACAGTGCCTTAATCTTTCCTCTTTGTGTGGTTTATCCAGTGCTGTCGGGACATTCGCTCGAGCCCTTGATTGCAGCAGTTCTGTAAGGCAGCCTAGTTTGCATATGAGTGCAGCTGCAGCTTCTCGAGACATCACCCTGGTAAGATGCTTTTTGAAATTTGGGGGTTATTATTTCTTCTGCTACTTGTTTAATTTAAAAGCCAATATAGCAATGTTGTAGACGTGAGAACTTCCTGGCTCTAAGCTCTGCTGACTGTTAGGTTGATTTGGCTTGGCTGGTTGATTAACTGCAGTGTCTCATTCCTAAGTCACCCCTTGTGTTTGTGAGCTGGGACAAGTAAAAATGACTATCACAGAGTAGGTACAAAATGATAAAAAAATATTTTGGGGAAAACAATTCAATATTCTGATTCATCTGTTTTCACTTTGGTGCTTTTTTGGTATATTCCATCTACACCAAACTACATAAATAGTTGTAGCTCACACATAGTGCTCTACAATTTTTTTAAGTGAAAGTAGCCATCTCTTGAAACCATTGCTATAGGAGTTATTCTGTTGTCATGCCATTAGTCAGTATTAAATATTTAAAGTTTTTTTTTTTTGTCTGTTCATTAGAAAGAGGTTCTGTTTTCTTAAATTATTTCATTATATTATGCTTGCTATCTTTAAGGCTATTTCCTTTCTTCCCTTGGTGATCAAATGAGGCTTCCCACGTTCAACTTAATTATACCACTGATGCCTGCTGTGGCTGGGCATCGGGCTTGGCACTTGCTTCCTTCTCTGTGCCCTCCAGCAAAGCAGACATGCATGTTTTTGCCTGTTGAAGTTCCTTAACTGTATTGATTGCCACTCCCTCTGAGATAGGCATGGTAGGATGCTCATTTTACAAATGAGGAAACTGATGTATGGCAAGGTTAAGTTGTTTGATATTCATAAAACGTAATAAAAGTTAGCATTTTGTTTTCTGATGGAATGGAATACAGTGATAGGTTTCATTACTTTCTCATTATATTCCAATTTGAAATGTTTTCCACAAAATATTTATCATGACAGTGTAAAAACTTGTACTAGAATGCACAACAAATTTGTTTCTTATAATTCTTTCTTGTATTTTTGTACAGTTATAGATGATGATGAAAGCATTAATAGTCTATAGCCTTTAAGGAACCCTTTTCTCTATCCTTTCTCAAAGACTAGAATGTTGTTTATAGAAACAAGTTGTGTTCTCTCCGTTGGTACATTAATATTTTATGAAAGTTTAGGGGTTTCAAAATAGGTTTGTATTTTGGTTGTTTAGCACTTTTAGAGTGTTTTTTTTTGAAGATGCAAGAGTACACGTGTCACTTTGTAACAACCTTAAATCCTGTCAACAGATACTTATGTGAACCAGAACTACATGGAATCTAATCACTACCTGTTTAAAAATTTTTTTCCCAATTCTAAAATTAGTGTATTCTTATTATGAAAAATTTAAAAAGTAAAATACAGCAGCAGCCTAAAAAAAAAGGTTTGTCCTCATTACCCAGAGTAGAATATTCTTACCATTTTATGTTTCCTTTCAGCCACTTTTTGTGCATTGCAAACAATATACTAGCAGATTACAGAATAGTACGGAAGATAATATAATGAAATAGTATGCAGTGCCACCTAAAGCAGATGTTAACATTTTAGTTCTTTGGATTAAACAGATTTCCAACCACTATATATCAGCGGCCACGGCTCACGGGCCCAGCTGCTCCGTGGCATGTGGGATATTCCCGGACCGGGGCACAAACCCATGTCCCCTGCATCGGCAGGCGGACTCTCAACCACTGCGCCACCAGGGAAGCCCCCAACCACTATATTAATGATGAAATCCCTAATATTCTCTCCCTAATCCTATTCCCCATCCTCCATCTGTACCCCTGGCCCTGATCATCCCTGCCTCCTGACAAGAAGCAGCCACTATATCAAATCTGCTGTGTATCTCGTCTGTGTTTTTCTAGTTTTACTATGTATTGATATTTCCAAAAACAAGATGAACATTGTTTCACATGTGTTTAAATCTACTTTGTAACATTTTGCTATTTGCTTATTAGTGAGACGTAGCCATGTTAATAAATATGTACCTCTTTCACTCATTTTTAACTCCTTGGTAGTATTTGTAGTATTCTTTCACAAAATACGACACCACATTATTCTCTTACCAATGAACATCTGGAGTGCTTTAAAAACATTTTCCTTTGCTATTACCCATAATGCTGGAGTGGAAATTCTAACACATGTCCTTTCTGAGCATGTGTGCGAGCTTTCTAGGCTGTAACTAGAATTGGAATAATTATTCGTAGCGATTCGTAGGGTGGTGTTCATTTTCAGTTTGACCACGTGTTGCCAAATTATTCTGTTATATACCATACTAGAAATTTATAATCCCACAAGCAGTTAATGACTTTTTCTTTCTGCATCTGTTTTCTTACATTGTCTTCAACACTTGGACACTTGGTATGTTCAGACTAAAATTTTTCACTAACCTGATGCCGCCTCATTTTAATTTGTATTTCCCTGATTACTTAATGAGGCTAAGCATATTTTCATATTGGCTCTTTAGATTTTTTCATCTTTGTATTTTAGATTCTTGTATCCTTTGTCCATTCTTCACTTACATTATTATTCTATTTTTGTCTAATAGTTTTAAAGTTGTATTCATATTTCAGACTGTAAATATATCTGGACTTTATTTTTAAGAATGGAGTGAGGTAGGGGTCTAATTTTGTTTTTCTCCATATGGAGAATTAATTACTCCAGCCCCTTTTATTGAATTTGTTGTTTCCTCATGCTTTTGTGATGCGCCTTCTGTCTTATTTCATGGTCCTAGATATGCTTAGGATTCTTAATCTATTCTCTTCTGTTTCATTGATCTGTTTGTCCCTGTGAAAGCACCACAGTATAATAAATTCCGATAGCTGGTAAGACAAGTTCCACGTCACTTTATTTTTAATATATAGTTGAAGTTATTTAAAATAGAGTTTTATATTTTGTCTCCCCTCTACCCCATGTTTTTCCTAACAGTATAACATAAACACTCTTTCATACAAGAATCTGCAAAGTTTTTTTCTAATGTTGCATGATCTTCCCTTGTATATACTGTTACTTATGTAGCCAGTGTCTTGTGACTTAACACTGTTCTTAAGAGATAATGCTTCCCAGATTATAAAGGGGAGTGCTATCTCTGTTGTAGTCCAGCAAATTCCCTCTACACTGAGGAGGTAGAGTGCAAAGCCTGTTCCTGAGATGGGATAGAGCTCTTGTGACAATTGGGGCTGGGATTTGCCTGAAGATGGGTCTGACAGGTGAAGAGCAGGTGTGTTTGCTCTAGTTCACAGCTGCAGCGACTCTCTGCTTCCCACTGCTGGTGACTGCTGGGACGGCGGATGAATTTCTTTTGGAAGAGGGCAGAGTCTTCAAGAAGCAGTGTTTGTTTTTGTTAGTGAAGGCCATTATAAAAGAAACTTTTTTTTTTTTTTTTTCCCGGTATGCGGGTCTCTCACTGTTGTGGCCTGCCCCGTTGCGGAGCACAGGCTCCGGACACGCAGGCTCAGTGGCCATGGCTCACGGGCCCAGCCGCTCCCTGACATGTGGGATCTTCCCGGACTGGGGCACGAACCCGTGTCCCCTGCATCGAAAGGCGGACTCTCAACCACTGCGCCACCAGGGAAGCCCTGAAAGAAACATTTTAAAGGGCATACAACCTTTATACCTTGATTGGTTTAAATATCATTTTGTGTGTGTTGTTTGTAATACTTGCCTATTATGCTCCTTCTAGTACTTTCACACCCTCCAGTGTTTCTGTCTCTTCTGTTTTAGTTCCTTTAATACTTAGCAATTTGGAGTCATTTTTTAATTACATTATCTTAAATTATTTACTATATTATAAATTTTTTAAAGCAAAAATATACTCAGGTTTAGGAAATATTGTTTTGTCTTGTTTGTACACCTGGTTTCAGAGATAGGATTTGGATCTTAACTCCTGCTGAGGAGTTCTCGCCACTAGATTACCTCTTCTGTTTTATTCTTGTTAAAATGGCTTGGGTTTAAATATCATTGTTGTCTGTCTTGGATCAGGCAGCACTGAAAATTTGTTTTTTTAATTTATTTTTGTTTTTTTAATATTTATTTACTTTGGTTGTGCCGGGTCTTAGTTGAGGCATGCGGGATCTTTAGTTGTGGCATGCAGACTTCTTAGTTGCAGCATGTCACATGAGAACTCTTAGTTGCGGCATACATGTGGGATCTAGTTCCCCAACCAGGGATTGAACCCGGTCCCCCTGCATTGGGAGCACAGAGTCTTACCCACCAGACCACCAGGGAAGTCCCTTATTCTTTTTTTTAATTTAATTTAATTTATTTTTTTATACAGCAGGTTCTTTTTAGTCAGCCATTTTATACACATCAGTGTATACATGTCAATCCCAATCGCCCAATTCATCACACTGCCACCCCCACCCACCCGCCGCTTTCCCCCCTTGGTGTCCACACGTTTGTTCTCTACATTTGTGTCTCTATTTCTGCCTTGCAAACCACTTCATCTGCACCATTTTTCTAGATTCCACATATATGTGTTAATATACGGTATTTGTTTTTCTCTTTCTGACGTACTTCACTCTGTATGACAGTCTCTAGATCCATCCACGTCTCTACAAATGACCCAGTTTCGTCCCTTTTTATGGCTGAGTAATATTCCATTGTATATATGTAGCACATCTTCTTTATCCATTTGTCTGTCAATGGGCCTTTAGGTTGCTTCCATGACCCGGCTATTCTAAATAGTGCTGGAATGAACATTGGGGTGCAGGCGTCTTTTTGAATTATGGTTTTCTCTGGGTATATGCCCAGTAGTGGGATTGCTGGATCATATGGTAATTCCATTTTTAGTTTTTTAAGGAACCTCCATACTGTTCTCCATAGCGGCTGTATCAATTTACATTCCCACCAACAGTGCAAGAGGGTTCCCTTTTCTCCACACCCTCTCCAGCATTTGTTGTTTGTAGATTTTCTGATGATGCCCATTCTAACTGGTGTGAGGTGATACCTCCTTGTAGTTTTGATTTGCATTTCTCTAATAATTAGTGATGTTGAGCAGCTTTTCATGTGCTTCTTGGC